TGCTCAGCCTAGTCTCAAACTCGAAAGTGAGCTGAGGCGTTCCTCTTTTCCTCAGCCATCTACTGGTGGGGGCAACAGGCATGCATCCCCACACTGGGTTTGAGCAATTCTTTGAAGTCTGCCACAGCATAACTTCCTGGCAAGATGTGCCATTATTTGGTAAGGACTGTGGCAAGTAGAATGCTCTCAGAGAGGATGTGGGGTAATGAGAAAGGCTCACATTTAGTGAGGGCGCCAGTGTGCGACAGATACCATGTTAATGCTTCGCAGATATGGAAATTCACTTCGTTCATTCCTCACAGGGGGCCTCAAGGGAGGGCTTAGTACTCGTTCTGTTTTCCGTGTAAGGAAACTGAGGTGACCGAAACCAGGGAAGCTTGAGGAGAAGCTCACTCCAAAATCTGTTCTCAAGTTAGTCTATCATTAGGTATCCACGATGCTGCACAGAGAAGCACTGTTTTCAGTCTTTGTAAGTCTCCTCTCTTATTTCCTTATTTTCCTACTGTTAATCCACACCGCCATTCTTCTCCCCTACATATTGGCCCCTACCATACAATATTTAATGTATGTTGGGGTGATATATTGTGTACCCCAATATATTGTGTACCCTAATAAACTTATCTGGGGATCAGAAGACAGAGCCAGCTGCTAGATTAGACATAGGGACAAGAGAGTGGTGGCATACACACTTAATCCTATCACTCGGGAGGCAGAGATCCATCTGGATCTCTCTGAGTTCAAGGCCACACTGGAAACAGAGCCAGGCATGGTGGCACGCACCTTTAATCCCAGCACTTGAGATCTTACGCCTTTGCTAACAAGTATTTGGGAAGCACACACACCATTAATCCCAGCACTAGGAAGGAAGGAAGATGGCAGGGCACAGAAAGGTATATAAGGTATGAGTAAACAGGAAGTCTCGTTTCGGAGGCTGAGGAGTTGGTAAGGTGAGGTTGGCTGTGGCTTGTTCTGTTTCTCTGATCTTTCAGCTTTCACTCCAATATCTGGCTCTGGGTTTCTATTAAAAAAAGTCTGTTTAGCAGTTCATGTTACAGAATGTTCCTTTATATGTACATATATATGTGTAGGTATATATTCTATTTTTTATGTTTAAGTGTGGCTTGTCTGCATGTATGGCTGTGCACCATGTGCATGCCTGGTGCCTGCAGAGGCCAGAAGAGGGTGTCAGATCCCCTGGAACTAAAGTTACAGATGGTTGTGATCCACCATGTGAGTGCTGGGAATTGAACCTAGGTCCCCTGGAAGAGCAGTCAGTGCTCTTAACCACTAAGCTATCTCTCCAGCCCCGCTCCAGGTTTATGTACTGAATCTTAGGAAATATTTAGCATTATTAATTTACATAAATGGTGTGTTCTAAATGTTGTTTTTCTTTATTTAAAATTAATTCCATGTAAAATTCATTCATATTGCTCTACATGCATCATGGTTATTGATTCATGATTCCACTAAGTGGTACCTGTCCACTCCCTAGTGCCCTGGTTGCTTCCCAATTCCCCACTACTATAAACAATACTACAGTGAACTTCTTTGGTGCATCCTATGAGGGCCGAGTGAAAGAAACAGAACTTAGGAACCTTAAAAATAAATCGACACATAGTTCTTATGCCTTCTACCCTCAGATCCTTCCTGGAAATCTCCTCACAGACTCACCCAGAAGCAGGGCTCTTAGTTGATTCAAGATCTAGCCAAGTTGACCATCAAGATGAATCGTCACACCCTTGAAGGGGCTAGGCACCACCGTAAGAGTCATTTTACCATCACTGTGACCCTCCTCCTCTGTTTCTTTGTAGTATATCAAAGATGATCATGTGTATGTTTGTCGTAAATTATTTCAGGCTACATTGTAGAAAATAAAGAGCACAAAAAGAGACCACGGTGGGAACACAACTATACATAATTCAGGATAACGTGGTAGAATATTCATCCACTGAGGCCATTATAACGTGATGTTATTAATTCATCAACATAATTTGTCAGGCTAGCTCTCATCATTTGAGAATGGACAATAGTAGTCCAAGCATAGAGCAAAGGGTGGGACACTGATTAAAGTCTCAGGGAAGTAAGTGTTGGATAAATAGCTGTAATCCTCGCAGAGATTAGCATCACTAAAGAGAAACTGAACACATTGCACCAAGATAGTAGAGAATGCGCTGTAGGGAGAGATTTCTTGAGTGCCTGAAGAAAAAGGACCTAAAAAGAAAAGTTCCTGGGACCATGCTGGAAAAGGCCTGTGTAGGGAAGTGTTATTATAGATTGAGTCTCCCATGCAATCATGTAAAAGGAAGCCTGACTACCTTCCAGCTCTCAGCAGAACTTAGTACTGTCTGCATGGTGCTGGTCTTGCAGGCATGCAGTTACAGGGGTCATGAAGGCTTGAATTGAGTTTCCAGATACATTGAAGCAAGGCAGTATGTACCAGGCACAGTCACATTCCCTGTAGACAGCCCCTGAGCAGACTGTGTATAAAGCTATGAAGGTGAAGTCCAATTGTAATGGAGACCTCAGGATGTTAGAGACACCAGATGTGGAACATCTGCCAAGAGAAGCTGCAGGCACCAAGTGGAACTGGCCAAAGAGAGAGCCCATGTGTGTTGCAGGTATCGGGACCATAGGGGCAGGGCTGCCAAAGCCCATTGAGGCTCACATTACGCCTCTACATACTCTGGATGCTGGACATGGAGTGTGGGGGTTTAAATGAGATGTTCCCCACAGTCTGGGCATTTGAATACTTGGACCCTAGTGGGTAGTTGTCTGGGGAGACTTAGGAGGTATGGTCTTGCTGGAGGATGTATGTCACTGGGGCAGGCTTTGATGTTCAAAAGACTCATGATGTTTTGACCTCACTCTCTCTGTTTCCTGCTGATCTCTCAGCTAGTCCTGCCAAGATGGCTGTGACTGCTCCCGTGTAGCACAAATTGTTAGAAGGTCTTATTAATAAAAACAAACCTAGAGCCAGTCATTGGGGTGAATACTGGAAGATCAGAGAAGCAGAACAAGGTATAGCTTCCTCTCTAGTGCCTCAGTTGATCCTGTTTCCTCAGACTGGAAGACTCTCAGTCCTCATCCAGAATAAATCTCAGCTGAAGTGCCTGAAAGCTTAACTAAGGCTCTAGTTCCTGGTTTTCATGCCTTAAATACCTTTCTACTCCTGCCATCACTTCCTGGGATTAAAGGCATGTGTCACCATGTCTGGCTGTTTCTAGTGTGGCTTTGAACTCACAGAGATCCAGGCGGATCTCTGCCTCTGGAATGCTAGGATTAAAGGTGTGTAATACCACTGCCTAACCTCTATGTTTAATATTGTGGCTGTCCTGTTCTCTGACCCCAGATAAGTTTATTAGGGTGCACAATATTTGGGGGAACACAATACCACCACACTCCCGTGCTTCCCTGCAGTGATATGCTGGACTCTTATTCCTCTAGAACCACAGCCCCAAATAAGCCCTTTATTCTGGAAGTTGCCTTGGTCAGAATGTTTTATCACAGCAATAGGAAAGTAAGTGAGACGTGGAGCTACAGGACTTAGCATTTGCTCCACTGGGTTTCAGTCATTCTTGGGTCCAGTCTTTCCCAGCTTCCTCGTTTTGGAATGTGAATGTCTATTATGTGTCATCATCTTTTGGAATTTGTTCTTCAGGGGTTCATGGCTAAGTGTTTGCTTTGAGTCTCAAATGAGACTTGAGACTTTTGAATAGTGTCGGGACTATTAAAACTACAGAGACTTTTGAAATTAGACTGAATTTACTTTGCATTATGAGATGGCCTTTGGGGCCAGGAATGAAATGTTAGGACTTGACCTCATAGGCTCATGTTTTGAATTTACGGTGCTTACATTTGGCACCGTGTTGCAGGTTGTGGAGACTCTTAAGAGGAGGAGCCTACCTGGCAGAACTAAATTACAGCAGATAGGCTTTTGCAGGCTATACCTGCCCCCAGTTCTGGCCATGACTTTTTCTTTCTTGCCTACCAAGATGTGAACACACACTGTTACCATCAGGGACTGCTGGTCATGGTGCTGTGCTTCCCTGTTGTGATGGACAGCAGTCCTCTGAAACTGTGAGCCAAGATAAACCTTCCTTAACTTATTTCTGCCATTCATTTTGGTCAAAGTGTGCAAAAGCAACTGCTTCACTAGCTTTGGGGCATTCTTCTGTAGAGATAGATGATGATTCTAATCATGAGAACTCTGTCCTCATTATGAAATCACCTACTAAAGGTTCAACTAGCTCATGCCATCACCTTAGGGATTAATATTTCAACATGCGGGGGAGGGCAGTGCTGAGAGATAGCTCAGGGCTAAGAGTGCTTGCTACTCTTCCAGAGGACAGGCGTTCAGTTCCCAGCACTCATACTGAGCAGCTCATAACTGCTAAGAACTCCAGCTCCAGGGGATCTGATGCCCTCTTCTGGCCTCCACAGGACTTACACACATGTGGCATATACACATACATAAACATAAAAATTTAAGATTTCAGCATAGGTTTTCGGAGGAGGAGGCACATAAAAATTCAAATCACAGGACTAATTAAATACTAACATGTAATTAATAGTTGTTGAAGGAGAGTAATTAACAGAGATGAAGTCCCGGATCAGATTAACACCTAGCTTTTATTAGCTCCATATTTATAACTTTAGCACTAATAAATTTTGGAGACAGGAAATATTTTATTGGCTGTCCTGTGCATTATAGGATGATTAGCCTCCTTGACTTGTAAATATCTTATCTTATTAAATTCTAGTAGCATATCTATCCTTTCCACTCTGTGTGAAACCCAAAATGTCTAGGGGACATTTCTTAATGTTTCCTGTGGGAATATAGGGAAGAAAAATTGCCCCCCTCCTCCATTTGATATTGCAGTGTTAAATCCACCTTCATGCTTCTCTTTAAACTCTGTACTGGGAAACAGAAAGAAATTCCTGGTCTAGGGTACAGAATGACCTTGTCATATAGTAAAAGAAAATATACAGCTATAGGCACATTCTGGGTCTCACCTTGTACGTGTTTATTTACACTCAACCAGCTCCTTTATTCTAACAAAGAACCAGGACAGCTTGCAGAACTATTTCTGCATACATGCAGTACAGAAAGAGCTGAACTTGTTGCAGTGGTTGAGCATGTCCCAGATGGATGGCTTGTTTTCACTTGTCAGCAGCATTTGTGACACCAGGCTTCAGGTAGACAGTCAAGTCCCTCAGCTCCATGACCAGATGACCAAGGAGAACTTTTACATCCTGCATTTGTTTGAGAAGAAGGCGTATCTGGTGATATAAGTGAGGGTCTGCAGAGGAGAATCCCAGGGGCTCAGCAGAAGGAGCAGGTGGTGGGGCCAGAGGATCAGCGGGCTCGGCAGGAGAAGTTTCTGAAGCAGTTGATTTCTGAAGAGCTGGATTCAAGACGGAGGAATCAGCAGAATTTAAGGGACCTGAATTATTAAGGGCAGGAAGCACATACAAGTGAAATCTGGCTGGGCGTGGTGGTGCAGACCTGTAGTCCCAGTGCTCAGGAGGCTGAGGCCAAAAGAGCATTGCAAATTAAAGGCCAGCCTGGTCTACATAGTGAGCTGTAGGTTAGCCAGGGATACAAAATAAGACCTTATCTTAAAATAATAAATAAATAAGTACATACATGAAGATGGTGCCTGACTCTAGCCCTGCCCTCATACACTGTTAGCTACACAGTGAGACCGGTACCTTCAGGGGCAAACTCCTGTGTGAATGTGTCTTCAAAATGTTCTTTCTTTTATCTCAGCTAAAACTCTAGAATGAAAACTCAGTATGCCCAGAGGTATTTCTGCCCATCACTTTAATGTTTCAAGCATGTGCTTCATTTTAGCTAAGCATGCCCCTAAAAGTGTCTACCGTCTTTTCTTAACTCATGCGTTTAAACTGAGCATGCTCAGAATACATTGCTTAGCTGAGCATGTTTAAGAGTGGTCCTGAGTTCAATTCCCAGCAACCACATGGTGGCTCACAACCATCTGTAATGAGATCTGGTGCCCTCTTCTGGCCTGCAGGGATACATGCAGACATTACACTGTACATAATAAATAAATAAATAAATAAATAAATAAATAAATAAATAAATAAATAAATAAATAAATAAACAAGCAAATAAATAAATCTTTTAAAAAAGAAGGAGTAAACCTTTACGTGAGTAAATATGTCTAAGTTGAATAAACGCCCTATGCTTTCTTTTGAGGAGGGCCTTGCTTTGGAAATAACTCCTGTACTCCTCTTGCCCGACACTGATCACAAATCTTTCTCCACTCTCGTAGGCCTTGGCTATGCTTATTTTGGTATTGAACGCAACAAGATGTGAACCCACTGTGTTTGGTTACAGAATCAATCCTCCCTCTTTTCTAAAAGCGTGCTGGTACTCACTGGCAGTCAGGGCTTGAGAACTCTTACATCCTTCCTTTAGACTGAGGCTGGACTGTCTTGACAGTCTCTGCTTGAGAATCTTTAGTGAGGAAACCTCATTGCTAGACTGCCCATTTATTTTCTCTCAAGCCAGAATTTAGTTTCTGGAAGTGGGCTCTGGAGTCAACCTTTTCTTGTGTGTGCCATCGATCCAGTTCTTCATTTTTGTTTCAGTCTTTCTCTGAGCAGATCCCCTGAGGCGCCCCCTCTCCAGTATGATTATCACTAGTCCCCCACCCTATTATTTTCATTTCATTTCATTTGTCAAGCTTTCTCATCAGTCTAGGCAACTCCTTTTAGTTGTGTGTCAGGTCAAATACAGCCTTCCTAATGGTAACTTCCAGAATTTGACCTGCACTCTACTCTTCCCAGGGGTCTTTTGTTTGTTTGCTTGTTTTGAGATGAGTTCTCAAATATGCAGTCCTGGCTGACCCTTTCTAGATATTATCTGCATTCTAGGTATGATGCTCCCATAGATGTTCAGATTACATGGGAATCCTGAATTCTATAGGGAGCTACACAGAGGGCCAGGCCAGGTCTTGGTTTGGTACATCCCACGGTCTGGGGGAGACATCCTCTTTCTGTGCTCTCTTCCATCATCAAGGACTTTGGATTATTGCCCCATCTCTCCTGCATCCCCTCTTTGTCTTCTTCCTCTGGAATACGTTGAACCCAGTCATGTTTCATATACACCCCACAGTCACACATGCACACTAACTCACCCTGCACCCGGATCTCCAGCTGAGGGCTCTGCTTCCACACTTGCCTGTCCTCAGTAGCTGCCTCACACCAGTAGGAGCCAGAGTGCTCCTCTGAAGCCTTGGGGATCTGGAGTTCTGAAGAGACGCCTCTGATACTCAGTGGCCTTCCATCCTTGTAGAAGGAGAAGAGGAGGCGGGAAGCTGACCTCTGCAGGGACAACTTTGTCTGACAACTCAGGGTCACTGAGCCTCCCTCCTGGGGCTCACTGGATGGTAAGGCTTTAAGAACTGGGGATGGGAACAATTCTGGGGAGAAGACAAGCAGTGAAGAAGAATTCAACCATCCTGTACTCAGCAGACCCATAACTCCCTCCACCCATCCTCTCCTCTGCTCATTAGGTATGGGTTCTTTTAGAAAGGTCTCGTGTAGCTGGAGCTATCTCGTGTACCTGGGCTGGCAGCCATTCAGTCTCAAATAAACACACAGAGACTTATATTGCTTATAAACTGTATGGCCATGGCAGGCTTCTTGCTATCTAGTTCTTATATCTTAAATTAGCCCATTTCTATTAATCTATAAGTTGCCACATGGCTTGTGGCTTACTGGTACCTCACATCTTGCTTTTCATGGCAGTGGCAGCAGCTGGCAGCATCTCCAAACTCAGCCTTCCACCTCCCAGCATTCTCTTCTCTCCTTATCCCGCCTACACTATACTTCCTGCCTGGCTACTGGCCAATCAGCGTTTTATTTATCAATCAATCAATCAGAGCATACATTCACAGCATCCCCACCAGTCTTAAACTTTTCAGGTCCTCCTCCTCCTCTTTTGTTCCCTTCTTGTTTTTTCCCTTCCCCCCTGCCTTCATCTGTCCTTCTTCTTTCCCTCCTCCCTTTTCTTCCTTCGTCCCTCCCTTCCAGGCAGGACTAGGAAACATCCATAGATGAGCAAAGCCAACGGCAGTCTAGGTTCTGGATCCGTGAATATCAGAAAGCGAGGACCTGGATGGTTCTGGTCTCCCTATTCCTTCTCACCCAGATCCACCACAGCAACACTCCCGCAAGCTCTCACCTTGGACTGTGATAGCCACAGGGGATGCAGTCTCTCGGCTCCCAGGACCAGAGCTCCTGAAGATGCCACTGCAGTGGTATTGCCCACTGTCTGACCTTTGCACCACATTGATAGAGAATTCTCTTTTAGGTCCAGGAGGACCCAGGGCTGAGCCATCTCGGTAGAAGATGACCTGAGTCAGTGGCCAGTCTTGCCAGGCACGACAGTGCAGAACCAGTGGGTCTCCTTCAAATATGGATGTAGCTGGACCTTGGAGGATCAGCCAGTCTGTAGCCCAGAGTAAGAGCTGAGGGTCATCTACCTCCCTTGGGAGATACCAAGCAGCGCCTGTAACAGATCTCCTAAACTTTCCGAGTCACTTTCAACTCTTACTGTCCTTCCTTAATGCTCTCTGCCCCCTTGACCTTACATAACAATGGCAAAGCCTTTTCTTCTCTCTGCCCTCCCCCTCTACTCCTGCCCTCTAGTCTCAAAGTATACTGGTAACTGGGGAACAATTTTTGCCTTGAGATTGAACTTAGAGTTATGGATGGCTCACCACATTTCCTCACTCTGTCCAGTGCCTTCACAATTGACCCAATGTCTAGAGAAAAACAACTCTAGGGCCTAGGACTTCCTCGAGGACATTCTGTCCCCTGGAAGCTGATGGGAAACTAAGTACTTCCACCTCTGCCAGTTTCCTGCAGAGTGATTTCCTAAGTGGGCTGGGGGCACTGTCAGGAGTGGTTTGAGACGCTGCTCGGGTCTTCCTGGGACCTCACCATAGGAAACGATGAGATGGAAGGGTTTACTGAACTTGTAGCCCTTGACCTGGAAGTCGGTGTCACTGGAATGGGTCACATCCGCCGCCTCCTCCTCCTCCTCCTCCTCCTCAGTGTGGCAGCTGCTCTGATCCATGCTGAAAGGTCCTTCACACTTCAGAGTCTCCGAACTGGCAGCTGAGAAGGGATGGCCCAGGGAGAACCAGAAAATGATGCTGCAACTTAGAGAAAGAGGACAGAACGGCCCTCCACAAGGGCTCCTCCTCTGCCCTAGGGAACCATCGTGTCAGGGAGAGAAGGGGAAGACATCAAAACTCCTCTAAGAGACAACTGTGGGTCTTCAGCCAGATGGCCTTGACCTTGGCTCACTGGTGTTCAGGCCTCTCAGGCAAAGGACTGTGGGCTAGAGGGGGTGGGACTGAAGGAGCCGAACTCACCAGCATGGCATCCAGCTGTCGGTTGAGGAAACCGAAGGACAAGGACAGCCATGACCCCACCCACAGCAGGTAGTAGAGAGGAGGGAAAGATGCATGTCAGATTATAATATCCACTGGGTGCTTCCTGTGTGTCACACGCTGCTGGCACATCCACGCACTATTTAATCTTCACAAGCCTTTCCGGTATGGGACGTCACCATCATTTGATGGTTTTTGTTGTTGATGATGTTTGATGAGTTACATAGCCCAGATTGACCTTGAACTTGAACAGTCCTCCTGCCTCAGCCTCCTAAGCACTAGGTTATAAGCGTAAGTAAGCTACAATGCCTGGTTTTCCATCCTATAAATTTTAAAGAAGCAGTTCTACAAAATCAAATTTAAAAGAGTGTAAAGAAAGACTTGGGGGTGCACTGGGGAGATAGCTCAGTTGGAAAATGACTTAGCTTGCACACAGGAGGCTCAAACCCCAGTGTTGGGGAGTTAAAGACAAGGGCATGCCCAGTGGTTGCTGGCCAGCCAGCCAGCTAGCCTAGGCTACTAGGTGAGGCCTAGGACAATGAAAGACCTTGTCTAAAATAAAACATAATAGAATGGAAGATGACACCTAAGGAATGACATTTCCCTGACATCCCACACATACACACATGCATCCCACACATACACACATGTGCATTTAAAAAGGAAGGAAGGGAGAAACAAAAGAAGGAAGGAAGAGAGGGAGGGAGGGAGGGAGGGCTGACAGTAGAGCATTCGCCTAGCCTGCATGAGGCCCTGGGTTTAATTCCCAGCAACAGAAGCACCCCAAGAGTCAAGAATGGAGCAAGAAGTTTGGGTGTGAGTTCAAAAGCAATGTTCGTTTTACTTCACTGCCCAAGCATAGTCCACTTCAGTCCTTCGACCTTCCTTGGGGACATCCTACCCCCATTCTCTTTCCCACAGCTCACTTGGCTCTTTAGAGTATGTTGTCTACCCAAGAGGTAGCTATGCCCCTCTTCCCTCCTTGCTTTCCCCTTCAAGGCTTCAGTTTTCTTTTTTCTCCTTTTCTTTTTCTTGGGTTTTCATGACAGGGTTTCTCTGTGTAGCCCTGGATGTCCTGGAACTTGCTATGTAGACCAGGCTGGCCTCGAACTCAGATATCTGCCTGCCTCTGCCTCTGGAAGGCTGGGATTAAAGACATGTGCCACCACCACCCAGCTAAAGCTTCATTTTTCAATGACCTCTTCTTACTTTAATGTCCTCTGCTCTTGAACTCCCCCTAGCAATGGCAAAGCTTTCGCCATCCTCCCCTCTCCAACAACCCTTTATCGTTAGGCTGGCCTGGTAACCACGGAACAACTCTTTGCCTCCAGGTTGGGACTTAGAGAGTCCTCCCCACATCTCTTCACTCTCTCTCTCTTAGGTCCTTGACTGACCCCGGGGAAGGTAAGCGTCATTTCTCCCAGCTCTGACTGCGCCTCACCTCGTCCCCCTTGGTCCCTGTCTTCCTCCATCAGCCCCACATTCCCATGCGCTTGTTCTTCCACGCCACTCTTTCCCTGCCCCGGGCACCTTTGTTCTCCCCCACTTCCGGTGACACTGGACGCTGGGTGATTAACTTCCGCATCAAGTCCACTTCCTAGTTCTCACTGTTTCGGTCCCCGGTGTTTTCTTTAGTGCCTCGCAGCCCTCTTCTCCAACATGCTAATTTTCTTCAGTTCCCTCACCGTCAGAAGACTAAACTCAGCCTCCTCTTGTTTTGTTTCTTTAAAATAAATAAAGCTTCGGGGCTGGAGAGTTGGGTCGGCTGTTGAAAGTACCTGTTGCTCTTGCAGCGGGCCCAAGTTTGCTTCCTGGCCTCCACATGGTGGCTCACAACCATGCAGAACTGCAGCTGCAGAGGAACTGATACCCTTTTCTGGCCTCGGCCAGCATCAGGCATGCAGGTGGTCCACAGACACGCAGGCAAAACAATCACACATAAAGTTGATTAATTTAAAACATTTTAAAGCCTTGTTGACATATCCGGCATCTCCACTCTATTAACCTTACGTGGGAGGTGTTATCATTCTCATGTTTACAACAGAGAAAAGTGGATTCGGGTACATTAAAAGTGATTTTTGTTTAAACAAGATTTTACATCCAGATCATCCCTGGAGGGTCTGGTATTTGTGATGTAGCTCCAGCTGATCTTGAACTGGAGGCAACTGTCGTGCCTCAGGCTCCATAGTCCTTAGATTATAGGTACATGCTACTTTGCTCAACTGAAAGTGGCTTTTTCAAAGTGATACAGAACTAGTAACTAGAAAGGGGGCTTGAAACCAGAGTATGTGATCCTAAGACCACAGTTCTTGCTACAAAATCAAAATTTCTGGTCCTCCCACGAATAGCTTCTGGTTTGATGGAAGACCAAACATGTGAAAGGATTATTGTAGGGTGCGGATGCAAGCAATAAGAACGAAGTATCACAGGCAGACAGACACTGGGGAGAAATGGGGTCCAACAAGGCTTCTGCGGGAAGATGCTACCAAGGTGGAATTTTTAAGGATATCTAGAAGTTTGTAAAGGGGAAGAGCCTGGGGAACCATGGCAGAGTTCATTTCAGATGGAGCTAACAACATAAGCAAAGCCTTGGCCAAGAATCTGGGCTGTGAATGGAGATGCAGGTTGATTGAGCCTTTGTTCAGGCAGAGTGGGAAGGCTTTGAGGTTGCTGGAGGAAGGGGTGAAAAGAGGGTTAGAGGATGCCAGGTTTGGGGCTTCCTGTGCCACGTTGAGAACCCAAATTTTAAAAGTCACTCAGGATGCAGAGTTAAAGTTCAAGTCAAAGGGACAAGGCTGAGACACGATTAGTAAGGAAGTGATTGTGCAACCTCAGTCACGGATGATGAAGACTTGTCTTAAGAAAGCATTTGTAGTGGTTCATGGAAGGGACCAGTTGTGAAAGCAATTTAGGAGGTGAAATTTGCCAAAACTGATGATTCAGAGAATGATGAGGGAAGAGTTCAGAATGCCTCTTGGGTTTCTAGCTGAGGTCCCAGGTGAGCGCTTGTGCAAGGAACTAGCTGAGGTCCCAGGTAAGTGCTAGTGAGAGGATCTGAGATCAGATAGAGTAAAAGGTGAGTGAGGGTCTGGGGAAGAGATGAATTCATCTCTGGTCATGTGTTGGTACCTGTGACACACACAAGTCAAAAGGTCTTGTGTAAAGCTTAATATTTGAATGTGAGAGTCAAAAGCATGGATAGATATGGAATTGTGGCCCCAGGCTCTCAAATATACAACCATTGCAGCAAAACCAGACAGATATATTTCTACAGTCTCATTAGGAGACTGTGTAAGAAAGACGAGTACGGGGTGAGGATTAAACTGTAGAGAACACTGGAGTTTACGGGAGGGGAAGAAAAGCTACTGGAGGACCAGAAGACATCCATACAATATACAGAGAAAATAAACAGAAGTCAGGAAAGTAGAGACTGCAAGAGAGAATAAGAAATCAACAGGACCGGGTGCAATGAAGAAATCCATCCGGATAAAAACTCGTTAGTACAGAGATCCCCGCACCCTGTGTAGCACAGACTCTAGTGGAGGCAGGCTGCAAGCACTGAAGGGTGAGTGAGATGTGAGGGGGGGAGCAATCCCCCACGACTTTTCCAAGAAAGTTGTACTAGAAGAGTCAGAGCGAAGATTTGCAGCTGGCAAAGGATTCAGAGTCAGAAGGGACTTTCAGGATGGAAAATATCTGAATTTTTCTATTTAAAAAGAGCTATTCAGTCCCACACACCAGACTTGTCTTCTATCTGTCCTTGTCGCACCTGAACAGGGATTCTTGGCAAAGTCAAGGTCGGCCATGTCCCTTCCCTTTGAGTTTCTCTCTCAACATTAGGCGTATCTCATTTCCACACCAACATTCAAACATCTACTCACCCGGTAACATCTGGGTTGCCAGGAGCACAGCGGGACAGACATAAAGAGCCCATGTCATGAGGACACAGCTCAGCTTCATGGTGATTATGTCTGTACCTCCCACAGCCCCAACATACTGATTTTCTTCAACATGAAACCTCTCAAATTAGAAAAGAGGAAATAAATGTAACTGTCTTGGCTCCACACACCTGGGGTCAAGTCTGTGACTGGTTCTTCTCATTCAGGTTTGGCCAGGTTGGTTCTCATGTCCTCTTTATTCTTCAGGTTGCAGATGAAATGCTAGGCCTCTCAGTTGATTAACCATTTTATTTTGTGTGTGTGGTTGAGCTCAAGGACCTTTCAAAATGTGTTATTGATTAATGATCAACTGGCCTTCATATTACATCTGGGAAAAGTCAACATGACAATAATCCAGCTCACTGGAGACAATTAATGGAAGGAAACCACTGGGGTATGAGTGATGTGACATGGAAGGGTCCTGCTATTCCTGCTCCAAGCTTTACATGTGTCTAGTAATTAAAATATAGCAGGGGGGCATTGATTGATAAGGACAGGTGTCAAATAAGTCTCTACTGGGCTCAGCCCATCTAAAGCTCCATCAAACTTGTACCCAAATTTTTCCTGACCCGTGTCTTAGTTTGTTTCTACAGCATAATATAGGCTATTCAGTCTTGGTGGAAGTCTGAGTACGGGGCAGAGTTATTACCCTGGAAAGAGCAAAAAAAAAAAAGAAAGAAAGAAAGTAAGAAAGAAAGGAAGGAAGGAAGGAAGGAAGGAAGGAAGGAAGGAAGGAAGGA